AGTGCGGCGTAAAACAACAATGCAAATCAAAACATAGACGCTCTTTATATAATATCATATATAACAACACCTGGCAAGTATACATTATAACACTGATAATAAACAAAAAGAATACTAATAAACGCCGGAAACTATTGATTATTTCAAACATGCTGTGCACTAGAAATGCCTTTGAGGATTTATTGGTTAAGAGTGGCGTGGTACAAAAATGTTATGAATGGAAGTTGGCACCCCATGAACTAATAGATGCCTAATGTGTAGTTGTCTCCCTTCCGTGTCTGGCGGGTATGTTATTCAAGTTGTGCGGTCGCCAGGCCTCGGCCGACAAGCATGCTATAATCCCAGTCCTAATACACTTTCGAGGTTTTCTTAACGATAACGCGGTTATATTCATGTCTGTAATCGCACAGGGACATGACGGATCACTGTGACGAGGTGTGTAACGTCAGTCGGGGTCGGCAGGTCAAACATCGATCTCCACATTTCCATATCGCTTATTGCGTGGGAAGACATGCCCGCCTCCCATTGGTCGAAATCTCCAGCTTCGACCAATCAACGAGCTTCATTTGTATATTTACATTCCAGAAGCCATGCGTGTATACCAACCCATTCATACATCACGTGATATCCTGGCTGCGAGTGGAAGTTTACGGCCAGCTTGGGAATGTTTTTGAGTGATTCGCCCGAGTGATTGCATCATACCAGGGCGGAAGCTTTCCATCACTCTCCATCGACCTTTACTTCTTTAGCTAAGATGGGGAAATAAATGTATGATTAGTCATGCCGGACTAATACTGTTTCACATAAATTGATAAATAAATCTAGGATTTTTTGGTATTTCGTTTTGTTTGTTTGTTTGTTGCTCAACGCCGCACTAAGCAATATTCCAGTTATATGACGGCGGTCTGTAAATAATCGAGTCTGGACCAGACAATCCAGTGATTGACATCATAAGCATCGATCTAGGCAATTGGGATACGATGACATGCATCAATCAAGTCAGCGAGTCTGACCACCCGATCCTGTTAGTAAAGCATAGTCGCCTTTCACGGCAAGCATTGATTGCTGAAAACCTATTCTACCCTGGATATTCACGGGTCATATCATTTCGTAATTTGTTCATTGGTCAGTTAATATTGACACATTTTAAATCACCAGTGCTATTTTCTGTTGTCAGTCTCGATGATTATCATGTTTTGCACCTATCTCATTCAAACAAGATCTTTTACTCCGATAGGATGAAGAGTTATCGTATTAGAGTTAGTGTACATTTCCAGTCCTTTGATGTCCAAAAGATAGAAATAGTTCTGTTATTTCTCGCTTTTAACCACGATCTACTAACTGAAATATACACTGATTTGGCACTACGTGCATGGTGTATCCGCCATTAGCGACCAACAAGCAATCGGAAAACAAAGCCCATGCACTGGAAAAACGAAGTTTTCCGAGTGCTTGCTCGTCTCACATCGGACGCAGATAATATAATAGTGCAAGTGGGTGAACTCTATATAATACTTCAGCTAATTGGTTATATATTTCCAAATTCGACAAATAGATTTCACATTTCTTTTTGGATACAGCTAATACCCGCCACTGACCCGTATTTACTAACATTTGTATTGCCCCACCCTCGCGATAGTTCTTGGAGTTAATGATACGAGTTGGAGCATTGTTTGCGCTGTTTGTAGATCAAGGTGCGGTGACACTACGTTTTGCGTTGCCAGAAGAAACCAGGTCAAGGGGTGGCCCAGTGCTACACCCGTTATTGTACACAATGGCCCATTGCATCATGGACTTGATCCCTAATACCTGTATACAGTGTCAGGTGTCGTGTTTGCTGGTTGTACTTCTGTACCACATATTGAAATGTGCAGTTTCATTCTTGTATTTCTATATCTCCGGGTGACTTTCAGCGGGATCCGCCCTGGTGATATGATCTCTTCATTCAGGCCAGTGGCCCAGAGTATATAACAATACGACAAGGCTCATCAAATTTATTCATATCCGCCTAGCTTTCTTACCATGCACAGTCATCCCTACTACCGTGTGTGCTGCAAATATGACTATTCTCAACGCACCTACATATTGTCCGGATGAAGTTGACTGAAGTCAGATGGTACGACAGGACATGACATGGTAACAATAGCTAGGAATGTTTAATAAGTTCGGTGTAAGTTTGTTTGTCCTTGTTGTTTAACGCCGCACTCAGCAATATTCCAGCTATATGACGGTCCGTAAATAATCGAGTCTGGACCAGACAATCCAGTGATTGACATAATGAACATCGATCCACGTAATTGGGACACGATTACATGCATCAACCAAGTCAACGAGCCTGACCACCCGATCCCGTTAGTCGCCTTTTACAACAAGCATAGTCACCTTTTACGGCAAGCATGGGTTGCTGAAGACCTATTTCACCCCGTATCTTCACGGGTCAGTTCGACGTTAGAACAAACTGATACAATGTTACAGTAAGGGGTGTTGGTTCAAATCAACCGTAGATGGTATGGTTTTGTACAGATCAAGGTGGGATCTACAACATTTGGCAGTCAGTCTGCCAACCTCACACATACACTGACGTTCAGGTGCGACGTCCCCCCCCCCCTTCCTCCATACACACACAACACACACACACCACGCACGCACACCCCATCACACCACACACACATCACATCACACACACAACACACACACCACCCTTTTAAGCAGTACCTGAATACTCATTTAAATTGTATTTATGTTTCCCTACACTCAACCCTAAATTTCCACTAAAGTAAAGCACTCACTACCTCACATACTGCTAAAACCCCGCTATTTTGATTTGTAAAATCATGAACGATATTTCTGTCGCCATGACAACGAAACAGAGACAACTGTTACGACAGCCGCAGTTTCGATCCTCTTGCATGGGTGGTTAATTTGTAATATCACATGTCAACAGAGCGCCACCTGGCAAACACGTGCACGTGGTGGCATATAACAGCATATATACAATGCTTATCTTAGTTGTTTGTAAACAAAAACGAATACTCCAACACATATTTCCATGAAAGCTTGATACATTATTTGTACAGATGCCTTAGAGTACGTATTTTTTATGTTTTTGTTTAACGTCTTGTTTTATCATACGTCTTTGTTTAAGCTGAAAAGTGTCAGTGGCCATTTTTTTAATCATTGTATTCTACTTAATGTTGACAACGAATTGCCAGCTGTTTCATGAAAGGTCACACGAAGGTCAACAGAGTAGAATGTTACGTCAAAGTAATGTTTGTGTTTGAACTTTTACTGAGAAAAATCCGCCAAATTTATCTTCTTGCTTCAAAAAAAACAATCCACGTATCAATCATCTGTTATGATATCAACAAAACATCACTCGTACTTATCGGATTAAACAAGTTAAGGAGATTAACACAGGTCTGGGTGGATTAGTATTGATAGGGGTGGATAGAAGGACCGGTATTGAGAGATTGTGGGGTGGAGATGTGGAGTCAAGGGCCACATTAGAAATTAGCGTACCACGTATGAAAACAAAGACCGGAACACACAGCTATCCCGACCCCCCCCCCCCCCCCCCCCCCCCCTTAGCCTCCTACCCCTCCCTAATTCCCAACACCCCTGGCCTCCCTACCCCTCACTGATTTTTCAAGCCCTAGTTGTCAAAACACACGATCTTACATTATTTTTCATGCATTGTTTTGAAGAATCCTTGTCTGGATCGTCCTCCCGCTGGCATTAGCGCAGTAGTTGCTGACTATCGACGTCGCCGACGCCAACATCGACTTTACATTGCGACACCCACAACATTCCTACAAAGCAACGACCTTCACCCCAACGAATCGATTCCCCCTTGTACTTCAATACTATAAATAGCACGGCCTGCTATTTTCGTGCAAAATCGATAATCAAATGTTTTAAGAATACCTCTTTCAATTTAATCCCTTCTTTTAATATTTACAATGTGCAGAGCATGATCTTCGCAAAATACTGCTTCACCGCGTAGAAATTATACAAAGTTAAAAACAACAAATATATCCATCACACACCAATAATAATGGAAGCATTAATAATGACAACAATAACAGCAATAATAATGACAACAACAATAATGATGATGATGATGATGATGATGATGATGATGACGACAATAACATTCATATCAATGCTCTGGGCTTTACACAATACTAACTACGCATATAGGCATAAGACAACGTGTTAATTATAAAGAGTTATTAACCTAAGTATATTTGAAAATGTCACTCACTTCACTGTCACTTAAATCATTTATACGATATTACATAAAAATGCATAGTCACGTTCAACGTTGCTAACTTTACATGAGATATGCATATATATCCGATCACCAAATACAGGAGGGCTATCTTGACAGTCACCGTTGTCCCTGTAACCATGCCGTTCCTGGAACTGCCTCGACAGATAAAACACCCGGCTGTGCGTCTGTATCGACATACTTACATATACGATAGGGGACCTATTTTGACAGTCATCGGTATTCCACAAACTCACACCGTTCCTGGAACTATATTATGAAATATAGAAATCGGCTGTCACGCTGGTGAATAATGAAAATTTGTCAGCAAAACCGTGTTGCACGTGGATAATGGTGTTTTATAACAAATATGCTACAGAATCAATAAATAAATTTCATAATCATAACAATGTCATTTCTAACGCTCATGGTAGAAAACTTGTACAAAGATACCGACCGTGAAATGTCACTCTTACAACCAAAACATTTCCCTTCAAAGTTATTCTGCCTCAGACAACCAGACTATCTTTACTTTCATCACTTAATTTAAAAGATATGGGTATATAGTAGGTCAGTGGAGTAACTCCATTCACTCATGGAAAGGTACGCGGTGTGTCGTAATCTAGATTGTTTGTAAACATCAGAAGAAGGTCGCGGCGAAGTCACGTGGTTATGACGTCACGGCCGTCTATATAAAGCCCACGCACCGCCGTGTGTTTATATCGTAAAAGTCAACAGCCACGCGGGTCTTGCGCACACGAGTAGCTGGACATTCACTATAAGGCTTCATCTTCTTTGTTTTTGAAAAAGTAACACTTGAAATGTCTAAAGAACTGCTTCAAGTTGTCAATATAGAAGAGGTCTGTGAACCTATGCTTGGCGGGAACGAGAAAGGACAAACGATAAAATACGTGTTTCATACGGTTCAGAAGGTAAGACAGTTATGTTTTTCTATTGATGATAACGAATTGAAATGATGATTTCGCTGTAATTGTGTGTGTATTTTAAAACGGATGAAATGTTTACATTTATATTTAAGCAATTCCCCGTTTTATCGCTCACAAAAGTATTATTCTTACATGTTAATAAAAAATTGAATTTCAAAGACAATATGGATGCGATTTCAATAGACTAACATAATTTATCTAAATATCGATTTTGCGCATTCGAAAACACTTAACATGATTTTGTCACCGTGGCAACTACACCTACTGATGTCTGGAAGTGAGGGGGAAGCAGACGACATTCAGTTCAGTCTGGATTTGACCGGACTTGGAAAGTTGCCAAGGAATGGTGATTGATTCTTCTTCAATCCTGATTATTTTGTATGTCTTGGAGACAAAAATCGATAGCGCTAGGAAGCTTCCAGAGACGCGTAATCTTGATGGAAGATTGTGACGTATGCTGTTGCCGGAGAAACCAATTCCTCAAAAACGTCGCTGATCGGTTTCCACACCGAAATATCGATTCTTTATTAAAGGTGTTTAGCTGGACAGGATGAGACTGTATTTATCGAAGGTTTCTATCACCGCGCCTCTGGCCTTCTATACCCGTCTGGGAGTTAATTCCCCAAACCACACCTTAACATTATGAACCCAATACCATACCTACGCATACCAATAGAACAGTACATTAATAATGGATACATGTCGTCTACAGGTAGGCCACTCCTGCATACCAGCTTATTTATGCCCTTTGATATACAGTACATCACGTATACAGTTGAGGTGAAATGGGGGGGGGGGGGGGGGGGGGGGGGGGGGGGGGTCGCGTTTAATATCATTGTACAAATATGGTGACGTCCATCTGTGTCTGTCTGTTTGTCTGACGGACTGATTTTATCAGCCCCGACTAATGCCGTCTTTTTTATGCAAACCCACTGAGACACCATACTGCAGTCATATCACATACATATCGTTTATTCAGCAGTGAGATTGTAACTCTTTCTTCTTTTTTTAAAAAAAAGAGCTGATTGACAGCGCCTGTTCACCTTTCCAATGGCTTTTCATTATTCGTATGGGGATGCAAATATCGAAGATCATTCCCATGTTAATCCGCCTTGTATGTTTGGTTTTCCGTGTTTGACAATTTGAAAACTTTCCTGGTAAAATCCCACTCGATTTACCATCTTCAAGGAAGTAATTTCACATTACTCATTGTTTAAATAAAGAACTTGTCTTTCAATATCAAATTCCGTGTGCAACTCGGGAACGGAACACTGTGGCTGTCAAGCCGAAAAGACAGGTTTTCACATCTGATAGAACACGTGTTAAGCATACATTTGTTTCTACGATATACTACACAAAAGAAGTCAAGGAACACCCTGTTCTTTCACATTACTAGCTTATCTCTTATGCAATGACAGATTAACTAGAGTAACATGAAAGAATTGGGTGTTCTTTAACTTCTTTTGTGTAGTATATATTAAGGTGGATTTTTCAACCCATTCGCTTAAAGAGCGTTATCAATAGCGTTATTAAAGTTATATCAATTTCAACCCACCACATTTGCCGTGAGACGCGGCTTTGCTTGTCGTAAGAGGTGACTAACGGGATCGGGTGGTCAGGCTCGCTGACTTGGTTGATACTGGTCATCGTATCCCAATTGCGTGGATCGATGCTCATGATGTCAATCACTGGATTCTCTGGTCCAGACTCGATTATATTCTGTCATTTAGCTGGAATATTGCTGAGTGCGGCTTTAAACAACCAACAAACAATATAACAATCGTGCCTAGTCCGTTTTAATTTCGCAATTTGTTAAAAGTATGTATAAACTATAATCATGTGACTGTTGGTTATTCCCCAAATGGCCTATTCATATAGTCACGTGTTGAGGAAGACACATGACACCTGGGACAGTTTGCTGTAACCGGTAAAAAGATGCTGTATACATCATCACCGACAGTTAATCTGGTGATCGTCCCAACACGAGGTCCTGTTGGGCTTAGATAATAAAACATTATCATTGAAGTCACAAGTCACGGACTGATTAAAACAACGCCTGTGACTTGCTATACTAACTTATTATTTCCTGGTCGGGTAGTGTGCGTAATGTTCCGAGTTGGAGCATGTAGAATAACTGTGCCAGTGAAGTATTTGCCACAAGACACTCGTGATTGTTTTCATTCATGATGCGTTTCTTTGTATTATTATGTATATGGAAAGGAGTTTAACAACGGATGATACAGCATTTTTAAAGGGAGGGGTCCAAAACATCAAAACAGATAATTTTACATCATACTACATTTGGTTGTTAGAAGGGGATCCGCCCAGGATTAATGTATTTTACTTTTCAACCCTACAACAAACAAGGCACTCCTTCCTCCAGATCGTTGATGCACTATGTCGTCATATCGTCTATATACCGAGGTACACCAGTTGTCTCCCTTTAAAATCCAAACATCAAATTACATGTATATGCAATATTCAAATATTTCACTTTTTTTATTATGCGATCTGACCATTCCTACTCTCAACATGTAAGCATTCATTTGCTCTTATTTTTAAATACATAACGTGAATCATATCAATAACCGCGTTCTCTTGTACCTGAGCCTTTATACGCCTGTAGCATTTAGTTTCTTAGGTGCTACACTCATCGACGAGTTATCCCCCTTAGTTGATTGGTTCTAAGGGCTGTCGCTATGTGTTTTGGTGGAATTGTGTTAACCCACGCAAGTGTATTGATTCCCTCGCGATCGGCCGTTAGCGCACCAGCCCTCTCGTATTGGAGATATTTTCGTCAGCAATTACTCCGAGCGGATCACTAGAGCTTACGCGTTGGCATAGCGCCAGTGACGTCATTTGATTCACAGAAAACTCGCAGACTTCTCTCCATTTAAGTCAAGGCTGCCAAAGTTGATAAACGTCGCTGAATATAGAAACATCAATCCAAGAAAGAATCTCATTGATGTTAAACAGGGAGGTGACGTCACACAGGCGATTGTCGGTATCATCACACAGAAAGCATCTACTTGTCTTGAAACACATCGTTTGACACAGAAGATCTGTGATACTGATATATATGATCCGGAGATAGCTAACACAGGCTAGAATATACCCTTTCATAAACATTAATTTCAACATAAATTTATCATCAGTCAACTATGAGACTCACTTAAGTAACCGTTATTTAGGTTCATAGCAATTTTTATATCTTATTATCAGTTGGTTATTATTTGAAATTATAAGATGGGTAGATGGTAAGAAATGGTAAGATGGGTAGACGTACGTTAGTGTGGCTAGTCGTGATGCAATTAGACCTGCAGGAAGTGAGCGGCTGCTAGGCGTACCTCAACATGTCAATTGTAATCAGACTGATCCTAGGGTTCCGTGGTGCATGATCTTGTTAGTGAGCAGGGCCGCGCGTTATACCTCTTGGAGGAAGATCAGTGTGACGGGTGTGGCTAGCCCTTGGAAGAACACAATCTAACATGGCAGCACTACCGATGATTTAATAACAATGATCAATAAATTACTGAAACTGTACTGGTCTATTATTTTCCAATCAGAACCGATTGTTTCCATTGATTTTTAACATAAAATCGGCAGTGTGCTTCCCTTGCTAGTTTCTAGAATTTGGAAGCCTCGACGCTGTTGTTTAAAGACGTTCATCACGCGTGACGTCCTATATGGAGAGTTTGTCAGATATTAGAAAACGTCTGATTTGAATAAGAATCGGGTATAATTTACATCGGAAAATTACTGATTTAAGCACATCTCTAACGTTCTATCCATCTTTTTCAGGAAGAAAAGAAGGATGAATCTGACAGTGTGGCGACGGCGGATACAGTCGACAGCAGCGAGGACGTCAAGAGCGACGAGGCGGATAGAGGCGCCTGGGGCGGAAAGCTCGAGTTCATCTTCACCTGTATTGGCTATGCTGTAGGACTGGGCAACGTCTGGCGATTCCCCTACCTCTGCTACAAGAACGGCGGAGGTAAGACTGCACCAACTACTCATACTTGAACGACTACGGCTGCACTGACGACAACCAAAACTATACACGCTGTCGGTTCCGTTTTCGCTCACTTACTAAAATCAATCATGTATGTAGTTTCAAAAACAAGAAAAGAGATAGAATGTCCTCAACGATTGAAGCAGTTTTACAGTCCGTCCAGTATGTGTGTCCACGTTGTTTTAGATTGTGGTATCTAGTACCTACTTGACACACTGCCAGGGTATTGTCCTACCACCTGCGTTGTTATTGCATGTCCGTGTAATAACAGGAAGCATGTAGTCGAGGATATGAGATCGTATTGATTGGACTGTCGCCCTGGGCAAACCAAGATGGCTATGGAGGTTTAATTGCAAATGTATTTACGTAAATGGCGTGTTAGGAAACAGATGTGACACTTGCGATAGATACTGCCCATTGAACACCATTGTGACATCCCGTTCAGGGTTACCATACAACATAAGGGTAGCTATACATTATATTTACCGGACATCACATACTTAACGATGACGTATTGGTCCAAGGACACATCCGGCGGTTTGCTTGTTGCTATAGTACCGCTTCCTGATAAGGAACAGAGTATATATTCTATAATATTTATTTACTTATTTACTTACATATTTATTCACCTGCGTCTTAATTCCATATATACCATCAGCTGACGATATATTAACATTTGTCGAACAAAAGCAAATCTATCATCCTCAGATGTCAGTCTCTTCCGTCATTTAGAAATACAAAATCTAAAATCAATGTACTTTTTGTACTCCATTATATGATTATATATTAACATTTTTGAAAGAAGACACCGGTTTTAGAAATTAACAAATATCTGGCGTTTATTGACACAAATAATGAATTCCTGTACTCAACCATCTACACGAGACAAGGTCATTTTATACTTAATAATTTTCTAACTTTTATTAATTAAAGTATCATAAAACCTTTACGTATAACATGTTCAGTTATTTGGTGTGTATTTACAATTTGAACACTAAATTGCTTAATGTCATTTGAGGTGGAGCCATAACACTCGAGGCTAACAACGGATCCTAGGTTGTATTGTACCCCGAGAGGGTGGATTGTTCCTCATTATATCAATCACCGGAATGTCCGGTCGAGACTAGATTATTTACAGGCCGCTGTCATACAGCTATAATTTTGTCAAACAAACAAACGAACGAACCAACACCCGAGACTAACCGTCTGTTTCCGTGGCAGGTGCGTTCCTCATCCCTTACGTCATAATGCTTGCCGCGGTGGGTCTGCCCCTCTTCTACATGGAGCTGGCGTTCGGACAGTTTGCCAGCCTCGGGCCAATATCTATCTGGAGAATCAACCCTCTACTGAAAGGTAAATTTTATAAGGGAAATATATTGTCACTGAATATAGTGGGGAAAAGTCATATTTTACAAACAAGTAATTGTTTGCTGGATGTTTTTAAAAAATGTGTTGTGAAAACACAAATGTGTGCCGTTCTTCATGTCAGAAAGATTGTTCTTTTTTTAAAAAAAATCTCCAAACCTCACTCCCTCTCCCCTTACGAGAATATTAAATAGACCTTTACATTTCTCTTCTGATAGGTATGTTTTATTAGCAATTCTTCCCGTTAAAGCGTTCAGTACGAATTTGTAGACAAATCCTGTTTGTAACAATATAGCTTATGTTGTCGATTAAACTGACACTTCCGATGGGTCGGATTTGGTATTGCAACGAAGTCTTGACGCTGATGCACTATTGCCATGGTAACCAATGTAATCGGCTACATGGCATGTCTGCAGTGCGTATATAGGAGACACACTGAGATAACGCAGGTATGTGTATTATTAGATCTATTTTTATTTTATTGATTTTTATATTTCAGGACTTGGGTACAGCATGGTGATCGTATCTTGGCTAATCAGCTTGTATTACAACGTCATTATTGCGCATACGCTCTTCTACCTTGGCGCATCCATGACACCTGTGTTGCCATGGACAACGTGTGGAAATACATGGAACACCAACAGTTGTCTCTCCCATAACTTCTCAGACAGTGGTAAGTATTCAGGTTTTCCTTTTTTTTGTAAATGATGTACCACGTGGTGTCGATAAAGTTGTGTTTTGTATTGTCATGGCATGTTTTTTAGAGTTATCTCCCCTATAATTACAGCCGTTGCACCCCCATCGCACCCCAGCAACGTGACGTTCAACACTCCCGCGGAGGAATATTATAAGTGAGTTATTAACTTTTAAGCTGAAACAGGTTATTTCAATTTAGTTTAATAATAATAACTAAATGTGCCTGCTAATCAGGGCCGTTCCTCACAGCAATGATAACACTAGGACAGTTGCACATCTATGTTAAATTATAACATTTTCGTTGATTTGTGTGTAAACTATTTTATTATGAGGAACACAACGTTTCGGAGTATATACTTACTCCTTCATCAGATGCATGATGATATTGTTGTGATATTTCGAAAAGCGGAATAAAACAATATTCATTCCATGCAATTCCAAACATAGATACTTTCATTCACAGCCCCTTCGATTGCCCCGTAACGCTCCGTCTTGTTTGTTTCAGATACTTCGTCCTTGAACAGAATGACAACATTGGGGAACTTGGATCCGTCAACTGGAAACTGGCGCTGTGTCTCCTCGCCGCGTGGGTCATAGTTGGGGCGTGTTTGATTCGGGGCATCCAATCCCTCGGAAAGGTAACTTTTTCATCACTGTTACAATGTCAATCTCTATCTTTCGGCTATATGTAACAGTCTAGTTCTGTGCTTGTTTGGACCGAATCTGTTAAAACTGTTGCTAAGACTTCCTTGACATTCTGATAAAGTTACGAGGCACATGTCACCTCTTATTTCTCACAATAGACCCCATAAAAATCTTGTTTCTGATCACTTTCATCATAACAAGAAAAATGTAGGGTAGGTAGGTCGAATTATAAATTATTTTTTATGGCCATTTCCTAGCCATATCCAGTAGAGAGTTGCGTGCCATGTTTTAAACATTGCCTTATTTGGTAGTCAAGAATGTGTTAAATAATTTAAAAAAGTATAACTCCGTAACGAAAAATAACCCTAAATCTGCAGAACCGAAATTAGCATGCGAACATTTATTTAATACTTCAGCTGGGTCCGATACCTAAGGTTGATTGATGTTGAGAATTATTTTAATGTCCATCAAAGTCAAAGTTGGTAAAAAAGGGTGTCTTAACACAAGGGGTCTAGCACAATGTAGGACCACAATATTTACCTTGATAATGTTCAAGCAACATTTTAGTTCAGCGACCCCACTCGATATTACGTCAGGAGTTGTCCTTCTTTGAATGGCACATGCCGCTTTTACGGCCGCTTGAGTTTGTCACACATGGTGACATTTCTTGCATGTGTTGCAGGTGGTTTATTTCACCGCGGTGTTCCCGTACATCATGCTTACCATCCTTCTCATCCGGGGCGTGACACTAGATGGCGCTCTGGATGGCATTATCTACTATCTGAAACCTGACTTCTCCAGGCTCGGCGACCCTCGGGTAAGTCCGTCTGATCGAGTGAGTGAGTAATTGGGTTTTAACTTGTCGGAATGATACAAATTACTTTGTTAATGTGTTATTGGTGGAGTATAACGCTTGATTTAGGGACATTTGTTTTATCCTGATGTATGGAGTCAAGTCAATGCATCATACCAGTTATATATGTACATAGTCCGCGAGTGTGATAAATGTTAAACTCTTGCAATGCAGCAACCATCTGATACATATGTTGGCGTCATCAAAGATCGTTTACAGAATGTGTTAGATACGCATGCGTTTCGCGATACGGGTTAACCTTGAAAATGTCATTCTCTTCACAATTACCACATACGTGTATTCTGATGGAATAAAATAAGGGAACTAAAATAGATACAAAGCAGTCTTTATGGTTTTTATCCAGTACTACATTGATGAATAATCTCTGCTATGTGGTGGAAACATCAGAACCATGGCTCCTTCAATAGGCGGTCCCTTATTTCTGTTTATGTATGCCAGTGTTAACTGCTAGCCCTTATAGGCATCTTTGATACTCCCCAGGGAGCTGATAATGAATACTAATCCATGTACCAGGTTTTTTAAGTTTGTGTAACGCTAATGAGCAGTTATCCATGTTGGAAGTCTACGCAATGCATTATTATTATTATTATTATTATTGTTGTTGTTGTTGTTGTTGTTGTTCTTGTTTCCATTATTATTGGTGTGCGATGGGCGTATTTGTAGTTGTTGTTTGTCTACGGGGTCATTATTATTATTATTATTATTATTATTATTTTTGCAGGTGTGGAGCGACGCCGCCACGCAGATCTTTTACTCTCTGAGTACCTGTACAGGTGGGCTAATTACCATGTCCAGCTTCAACAAGTTCAGGAACAACTGCTACAAGGACTCTCTCATCGTCGCCCTCATCAACTGCGCCACCAGCATCTTCGCCGGCTTGGTCATCTTCTCCATCCTGGGCTTCATGGCTAAGGAGAAGGGTGTCTCCGTCGCGGATGTCGCCGATGGAGGTGGGTGTAGATACTGTCCCAGTCATTTTGAAGAGGGGCTGTGATCCATTGTCTGTGTCCATTTCTGTCTTGGCCTATATGTCGTAATTAGCACCCTCTGTAACGGAATCTTGAGTAATTAGTAATCATTAACTGTTAGACTGATAACCATGGGGAAATTGATTTAACTGGTGGTTTTGAAAGATTTGAATTTGACTAGCTTGGACTTCAAATATGTCCTTGTGCCTCAGTTTATGACACAATTTGTTTTCGTTATTTTTGAGTAATATAGAGAGAAAGAATGCATGCAAACGTTGCACGGGATAGAATTCGGGGTAACCTATACCCTTTCGTGGGTAAATGTAAAATTACGTTGACCATAATATACCGGAAACGAAAAACAAAACATTTCTTCTTTGTATATACTTAAAGGAAATAAGATATTTTTCGGAATAAACAAGAGTAAAATAACATGATTGTCTGTGAAGTAATATGTTTGTCCGTGAAGTAGTATGTTTGTCTGTGAAGTAATATGTGTGTCTGTGAAGTAATATGTGTGTCTGTGAAGTAATATGTTTGTCCGTGAAGTAATATGTTTGCTGCTTGTCGCCACCAGGTCCCGGTCTGGCGTTCGTTGTGTACCCTGAAGCTATTTCCCGGATGCCAGTCTCACCTCTGTGGGCCGTCTTCTTCTTCCTCATGATGGCAACTCTCGGATTCGGATCCCAGGTGAGATTCACATCCTGGGGAGGGAATCTGAATATAATGATACAGCTGTTATTATGGATAAATATCGTAATGATAATTATTATAAACTTAGCAATTATATCGAAAAGAGTTTTTTCTCGTTAACAATAGTTAATGATAATAATAATGATACTACTATTAATTAATTACTATGATGGTGATTATCATGATTATTACAAGGGCAATTATGTAGAGATAGGTCTTAATTTTATATATAAAAAAATGTTAATACACAGTAATTACAGGCAATAAAATAAAGATAATAATTTCTATTTTTCTAGTTTCGTACCTTAGTCATTTGTATTTTTGGCGTTAATATATTTTTTCCTGTTTACCTTTTTAATCCAAACCTGAAATAGTTTCACATTTCACGTGTGTGTTTCCAGTTCTCAATGGTCGAGTGCGTGATGAGTGCATTCATTGACGAGTTCCGCTCCTCCCTGCCCGGCAAGCTGGCGTCAACGTTGTTCAGAGTCGGCATCGTCGTTGTCGGTTTCCTCCTCGGGCTCCCCATGGTGTGCAAGGTACAAGACTGACACCCACAACCACTCTAGTATCATAATAATAATAATAATAATAATAATAATAATAATATCCCTAGTGACATGTAGTAGTAGTATGGTATAATGATGAAGATGCTCACAGCATAATATAACTACTACTACTACTACTACTACTACTACTACTTCTACTACTACTTCTACTACTACTACTACTATTTAGCTGTATCAATGCCCAAAAGGTGTGTTCAAGGCGCTGCACACTTATTATCCGGTCCAGGGAGCAGTATCGATTTAAATCATATTTTTATCTCCCCGGGAAATATACAATTAACAAACATGGAATCTGGGTCAGTTAACCCGCTTCATTCAGAAGGACTGATAACTTGCATTGAGTTTCAAGGACAATAGCCAAGCAACACAGCTGCGAGATTCTTGCATATGGGCGGCGGAGTGAAATGAGTCGATCTAGCCGGGCGCACCCACTGAAAGGATTTCTGTATTTAGAACATGTTGAATGATTTAGCATACGGTTTAATACATTGGTTTAATACATTCGACTGGGGTATTGACTGAGCATTATTTCTTTCAGGGGGGTATTTACCTATTGAACCTGGTCGACTACAGTGTGGGCGGCTTCCCCCTCCTCGTCGTCGGCCTCATCGAGATTGTCGCCCTCAACTGGATCTACAGTAAGTGGACATCCTCAAGTACTAGTCTCTCCATCCTCTGTCCCCTCGTGGGAAATCCGGGTTAGAATATGTCCCCAGGAATCTCTGTTCATTGGCACAGGCGACTTAATGGCGTGGTCATGTTGTCCATGCCGTGTCAACGTATCCCGGCGGTATGAATTGTTGCTCATGATATCAGTCACTGGATTGATCCATTACAGACCGCCATCTTCTAGCTGGAAATTGCTGAATGCGGCGTTAATATATAGCATGTTGTGTTTCGTAAGGAATTGGGTGCAAATATCAATGGTACGATGTATGTAAGGGCGTGTATTACATCCATAAAAAAAGAAGACGCGTGTCGCTGGCTCTGCGACTCTCTATGAAGAGTTACCCTCCTTAGATGCCGGGATCCGAAAGTCGTTGGTTCGGATCCCAGATTCGTCGCTGTTATGATTCTTTGTCCGTCCCTGATAGTATATTCCACCAACGTGGTTAACATGACTGAAAGAGGTAAACCCAAACCCTTATCATGTAAATATCCGGGTTATAATTGGTCTTCATAACCCATGCTTGCCGTAAGAGGCGACTAACGGGATCGGGTTGTCAGGCTCTTTGACTTTGTTGACGCATGTCATCGTATCCCAGTTGCGTGGATCGATACTCATGATAGCAATCACTGGATTGTCTGGTCCTGATTCGATTATTCACAGACCGCCGTCATATATTGCTAAATGCGGCGGTAAACAACAAACAAAGCAACAAACGTGTGTATGAGGGCAGGTAAACAAACAAACAATCCCGGTCATGTAATCAAAACAGTTTAGTACCATTTGTTGTGTACAGACACATACTAATTCACAAACTTTTCACAGAATTCGAGCGGTTCTCGGAAGACATTGAGATGATGCTGGGGAAGAAACCAAACCTGTACTGGCAGATCTGTTGGAAGTTTGTCTCGCCGATTGTGATCGGCGCCACCATCATCTTCAACATTGTGCTGTACAAGAACCCCAGCTATGAGACCGCCCCGTACCCCGTGACCATGTTGGCCGCCGGCTGGATGATCGTCATGTTCCCCATCGTCACCGTCCCCATCTACTTCATGTACAAGTACTGTGTTGAAGGCGGCTTCTCGGTGAGTTTACGTCACATCTCCAACAGAATCTCGGCAAACACTAGCAGGAAGCCATATTGGAACTAGTTTCAATCAATCAATCTTTATTACAGAAATACGGAAAGGCTATTTGCCTACAGTACACATCTTTGTGGATAGTGGGTGGACATATTGATTTCTATGTATTTAAGTCACTCATCTTATCATTGCTACAATTCATTGCACGGAATACATACGCAGTCAAAGGCTTCAGTACATTCTTATTTGACATTAATTCATTAAACTTAAATATAACATGGCCGAACATGACACATTAAATGGTATTTTGCGGGGTTTGAACATATGATATTGACAGGAAGAAAATGAATTGTATGCGAATGGTATTAACTCGCAAGGAATGAGTGCTGGACAGTCAGTCCCGGGATTAAGGTGAACAGGAACTGTGTGCTGATTATATATTTATGGAAAGAAGCAAGAAAACTTCAAGTGAAATAGCAGTAGAGATTTTGTGAAAACATAATCCTTTTGTAACCTTCCGGCTTCGTTTTGTAACCTTCCGCCTCCATTTTCAGCTACTGGTGTACAACATGTCCCCGATCCCCCAGTGGGGTCCCTGTAAGCTGGAGGACCGTATGAAACACAGCAGGTACGCCCCGTCAGAGGTCAAGGTCGACGACATCCAGAAGACACGCCCCACCTTCCTCTTCGGTAGCAACGCCTCCACCATGACGGCTGACACGAGGCTCTCGCCGGTGTCCTCCGTCCTCAACAGCAGGGTGTCACTCAGTCCCAGCATCGCCAATGTTTGAGGACGGACCGAACAGAAGCAGACGACAATCAATGCAATGTCAGAAATGGCGGGAAGAATTAAAGGAGCTTTAATGAAAGTGAAAATGGCAGTATACGCCCGAAACTGTTGTCATGGCACCAGTGAGAGGACGAGTGAAGATGGCGCGATGCACGGTGGGCACATAGTGGTGCTAGCAGGCTGATCCATCAAGAGGCCTAGACAGTTCCAGAACATCCAGTTGTAATAGATTCACTCTTCAGACAGTCTGCCTTAGATTCAGACACGCGAAGAAAGTCTGAAATAGGCTCTGATTGTGACTGTGATAGATTTTCACGATCTGTGATAGTATCAGACACACGTCAGGCAGTATGTGATAGTATGAGATTTTACAATCTAGTCATTACACTGTCTTGTGACGTCACGCGCATAGACGGTACACCTAATAACATATCGTTGTGTTGTGTGTCACGTGCGACGAGGATATGACTTTTATATCCATGAAACATCTAACATATTCCCGGGACACCATCCATCTGTCACCATAGTTACCAGAGAGAGTTGAGAGGACATAATCTGCACTGAACATGTTTCTTCTAGAATGGTCATTTATATCGTTATATCACACTGTCCAGCTCGACTATGACCTATGACCGAGCATTGGGGTACATTTATGTACCATTTGGATTTAAAATTATAATATTCAACAAGAGCATAACTTTGAAAAATCGTATTTTAAATTCAATTTTATTATATTTGCATGTGTATATTATAAGACTCTCTATTCTTATTAGACCACACATAAAGTCTTGTTTCTCATCACCTGATATGATGGGTAGGTCGAAATTTATTTTGGATTTCGATTTCTTACCCTAACCTCACATCTTCTGAAAAAACAATGCGGAACCGGATCTTAAAGTAAACACATTGAAAAAAACAACTTTGTCGGGCCGGTCAGTCATGAGTATAATTAAGTCAAGTATAATTGTGTGTGTGGTCTAATTAAAAAAAAGAGGATTAGTCAATATTCTTTCAAATGACAAAAAAACCAGAAGCATTCCAAACCACAGCGAAGGTGCTACCGTGCGCCATACTGACTGTATGCTGCGTGCAGAATGTTACCACTCTATTATTTTTATAGTTTTTATCCGCCAAACTATTTATGATACACATATCTTTGTGTCTGGAACACGGGTGAATGATGCGCATTTTGCAGTTCAATTCATAATGGTATTATGTTCCATCCGAGAAATTAGTCCAAGGACATTCCACGATAAAACCTTGTTGCTGATTGCTCTACAGATCCGCTGACTCATGGATTCCAAGATTGTGATAAACACATCCTATTTGACCGTTTTCAAATTTTATGATGTTAACTTTAATTGTTTCGACTACGGAGAGTGAGACAAATAGAGATTCGAGATTTTATGGTTGCTAGTCATTCGTGATACAGAAAGCTATACCGATAATCTGCACCCTAGTTTACATACCATTGTACTGAAGGGTGGTAAGCATAAAGGTTTATTAATAAAGTGTCTTAGAGAGTTGTAAATATTTTATATCAAATCTGAGCCTGTATCGACAGTGTAAAATGTCATAATTTATCATTTTTTCTAAAGTTTCCCAACAACGAGTCCACTGAATTGTCTATTCTTGTTGTGCATTATAATCATGCTGCTATATTTTTCAAGCACTGCCAGATTCGCCTAAATGGGTAATTTTAAGTAGTGGAACCTGTCGAAACTGGATTTCTGTCAATACTGGACCACATTTACGGTTCCGAATATACTCTGATAAATAGCATTTCTTTCAGCCTTGTTAATTTCCCTTCTCAATATCTCCTGCTATAACCAAATCAATCCGGACCACTGTTTAAACCGGACATGCATTGTAATTCCCCATTTCAATATCTCCTGCTGTAACCACGTCAATCCGGACCACTGTTTAAACCGGACATGCATTGTAATTCCCCATTTCAATATCTCCTGCTGTAACCACATCAATCCGGACCACTGTTTAAACCGGACATGCATTGTTAATTCCCCATTTCAATATCTCCTGCTGTAACCTCATCAATCCGGACCACTGTTTAAACCGGACATGCATTGTTAATTCCCCATTTCAATATTTCCTGCTGTAACCACATCAATCCGGACCACTGTTTAAACCGGACATGCATTGTTAATTCCCCATTTCAATGTCTCCTGCTATAACCACATCAATCCGGACCACTGTTTAAACCGGACATGCATTTGGGTCCCAAAGAATTCCGTTTTGACAGATTACACTCTATATTCCTACAGGTGATTCCACCCTTGACAGCGTGGACATTTTACCGCCATGTGTTCTAGTTGGCCAATGTCTTTACTGCCAATGTTTGTTTTTTGTATTGAGACATACTCTTTTGTAATAAAACTAATACTGTTATTTTTATTTTTATTATTCATTGTGGTATTTGACTTATATTTTAGCAATCTATACTATTTTTAGTAACTGTCTGACTTTTTCCAGAGTTAGATGCTACCAATAAAATGGGGTTAAAACTTATAACACAACGAAAGCGTTGTAACTGTATGCTAATATAGAACTTCTGATATCTCGACATGAAGTAGATCTGTCATGTTTAAAATAATCCGAATCCCTGGAATCCCAGACGCAAAACTGCTGATACTTACTAATCCAGGGATTAACTACCAATCCAGGAATTAACTACATATCTAAGAATTAACTACCAATCCAAGAATTAACTACCATTCAAAGAAGTAACAACCATTCAAAGGATTAACTATACCTAAATCCAAACGTCAAGTTGTTTTTAAGTAAAGAGGTTTTTTTCAGAAATATATAATCAAAACACCACTCTTCATTCAGTCGGTAGTGGTGTTAAGTTGGGCGTGGTTTTGACTCCACATGCGTTCCAAAACTTAAATTGTTAAAATAAAATTTAAACATAATTCAAAATTTAAATTTAAGTTGTGCTTCTTTACACACGTCTCGGGGAAGTGTCTGGTTGATTTCATTTAAGATGTACATCAGTTTGATGGGGAATATTATGGGTGAAGTTTCTGTTGGATCCGCGTATTCATTCAAACGGCATCAAACGGCTCTGGTCTGTCCTGACGCAGGTTGTATACTGTTGAAATAAAACAATACCCCATAGCATTATGAATTTCAGTTATCAATTTATTTCATCAGGTTTACATTTACTTTTGAGCATATATACAAAACACACAGTTTTAAAGTCACATTGTATTTCTTCACAGTTTATATAAACGAGTTGTTGAATGTTGAATTCCTTTAACAAAACCAATGTCAGATGTCATCACTACATCATAGTGATTCATAAACACGTGATATTGATACTGTCGGAATTGCACAGTAGATATTTCTTATGCTTATTGAAAGAGTTTATTGACAGTGTGCTCGCTGTTACAGTGTATATATGTATATATGTACCATCAAGTGTATATAGCTGCATGTAGAGGCTTATTGCTATTGGACGTATGTACGTTTTACTGGATATCTCAATGGAATAAAAGTATCAAGAAGATATTTCCTTTGTTTCCTTTGTTTCTGTTCTTGACATCGCGATGATTATTTCCAGACAAGGTCATAGAACGTCCAACTGTCAAACATCTGTATGAAGTCATGTAAACGTTTCAGTGTATCATATCTCCTAGTGAGTGATATAATAATAAAGGGGGCGATGGTTTAGCCTTGTCGTTAAAGGGGAAGTGTACACGCAAAAATCACTTTCTTTCTTTTTCTAAACAAAACGCAATTTTAGAATTAGTTAGTATCTGTGTTTGAAAATATACACTCATTTTGTTTCACAGTGAAAGTAGGAAGCTCACAATAGTGTGAAAATGATATGCCGTTATGAAGCCTTCGTTTTACGAGCGAAATAGGCCTGAGTTATCCCCCTTAGATTATGACGTAATTGGTGCCAATTCAACTGGGTCCCTGTCTATTCTCAACGCAAAAGATATCAACGACCAGTTTGCGGTAAAACAACATGGTCTACGACACACTCCGGCGCAGTGGTGACTCAGCATAACACAATTCTGGCTGGCATCTGAGACGCTAGAATCACATAACTGTACCTACACCACGTGAAGCGGCTCTAACAAAGCATGATGACGTCATAATGTTTATCAATTGGCACCAATGACGTCATATTGCAAGGGGCATAAGCCATGGTGTTTTTGTTATGGAAATAGAACACTTGGTAAAAGTGAAAAATATAAATCGTTTTAATGCAAAAAATATGTTAATTAAATTTGATGTTTTTATATTTTTGTCTATGACACTTCTATGTTAACACTTTTAATGTGGAAAAAGTACAAGAAAAATAGGTTCATTTCCGTGTGAACTTGCCCTTTAAAGCGTTCGCTCGTCCCGCCGAAGCCCTGGGTTCGATTCTCCACATGGGTACAATGTGTGAAGCCCACTTCTGATGTCCCCCGCCGTGGTAGGTAGAAGGTTGCTTAAAGCGGCGTAAAGCCATATTCACTTACTCACTCACTCACAGTAAACTTTAATACCCTGGATAATCCAGGATAGTGCTCAACGAGACAAAATGTTTTAATGACAATAAACACTGTTCACCCGAACGGTAACCGTTGACGTTAACACGTTCGGATTGTTTGTTTGTTTGTTTGTTGTTTAACCCCCTGGATGCTGGTACTTTTATCGGTGTAAGACAAAAAGCGGAGAAATTTGCTGTTTTTCAACGAAGAATAAATTCTCAGATAGCACTTAGCAGTGTCTTTTTTTCAAACCGGTTTAAAATTTTCAATAAAAGTTACACCATCAGATAGTCTAAGATAGGAAATTTAATATTCTACATCTCTGCGTCATTTAATCGCCGGAAGTACATCGAGTAAACGCCACACCAATATTCCAGCAAAAGACGGAGGTTTGTTTGCTTTTTTGTTTGTTTGTTTGTTATTTAACGCCGCACTCAGCAATATTCCAGCTAGATGACGGTGGTCTGTAAATAATCGAATCTGGACCAGACAATCCAACGATTGACATAATGAGCATCGATCCACGCAATTGGGATACGATGACATGCATCAACCAATTCAGCGAGCCTGACCATCCGATCCCGTTAGTCTTACGACAAGCATGGGTTGCTGAAGACCTAACTTCAATTCGGAGTTGATATCACTCTTAACCACTATCCGGGATTGGTGTTTCTGTCCAGCGCTGCTATGTTTTATTTATTTCTTTTTTTTACTTCAGTGCTAGCTCCTAAACATGCAATTGTTTTCTGTTAAAGGAGGAACCAGCCCATTGTTTGGTGCCCACAACGCACTACTTTTACGGCATCTAGCGTGTGCTGTTAGTAGTTTTATGGTGTTGTTTTTGTAAACAAACTTAAAAACAATCACTTCCAGCATTTTCGAAAACAGATTTTAAAAAGAATCCCAGCCCACGTTCGTAATAAGGGTGTCCACATGTCAGTAATGGAGTCTATGTGATGACTGTTGCATGTTTCAACACCTCGTGGCTTCATTAATAGATGAGGTAAAATAGGGTTTACCTAGCGTTCAAGATTTTTGCACTTGTATAGCGATGTGAGGACACCAATGTGTGCGGCTGCTTGTACTAGTCCGGACTAATGCAGGTTTTATGATGTTAGCCCACTGAGATACCATGCCGCAGTTTAACATGAATACCCTACTCAGACACAGTACACTCCGAGCCTGTTCCCTTTAATGCCGAGCGCCAGACAGAGTAACAACAAGTACCACCTTTTAACGTATGACGCAGCAGGGGCTCGAACCACCGACCTTCCTCTAACCAGGCTGACGCTCTGTCCACCAGGCCACGAAGGCGGTCGGTTTCAGTCGTACATCATGGTGGCAACGGCTGGAGGATGGACGTTCGGTTCCAAATTCAATTTAGCGGGATTAAATCTACAGGTAACCTAGCTCTACATTGAAAACACAGTGTGTGTATCTCCATTCTACCATGACTAAATGAAATGCGAGCTCTTTGGTGTTAGAAAATATATTGAGTGAAGCGGCATGGGTTGATTCCAATGTTTTGAGTGGGTTTTCGATTTGAATTTCGGATTCACCGACAACAGTCTTTAAACAAAATATGGCGCTGTATATGCTCAGACAGTTTGTTTACACCGTAATACTTCACTCGAACATATGACAGGCATTGACAGCATATTTATAAGCATGGCAACTTGGAAATCTAAGCAAGCTTTGCAAGGCTTTCGTTCTACACCGAACGTCACCATTATGACCAGATATATCTACTGTGGGAGCCAGTTTTTGATGATAAATGATGTACTTTGATATTTTTGATAAGATATTAAGTTAACGTGGGTTTATAAGGCGGGCCAATAACACCATTTAGCCAAAATTGCAAAATAACATTTTTTAGACCTAATTTCTGAAGCCTTTCAGAAAATGATGACATGGAAAACATTTCTATCGACACAGTACTAAGGGGAACAACTCACTCCCCTCTCAAAAATAGCGTCGTCCAATTTACAACGTCAGCAGTTGTCAGCGTATGTTCGAATCTTGAGAAATGACACCATGACAAAACAACATTTTTTCGTGAAATTAACCTCGCCTCGTTCTTCATTGTTCTTTGCGATTTATCGTGCAGCTATCTTAAATAATATACTCTGCAAAAAAACCCCGCAAAAGTAGTAAAATCGTAAAATATCTGACAGAGTGTTGCCGACATCCGTACAAAATTATTAATACCAAAAATGAATTGTCATTTCGTCATGGATTGGGATGGGTTTGTGTGGAAAGAATAAGGTACTGCAGAAAGGTGGTGAAAAGATGGAAAAATCACAGAAACACAACCACGTGAGAGCCTGGCGCCGAAATACACTATCATGACATGCACGTGCAACATCACTTGTTCGGCTATTCATGGCTTTTCATGTCCATACCATCACATTCTTACAGCAAGTGAACAGCAAAAACATGCCCAATGAAACAACGCCATCGGCCGACTGCAAACAGGAGAATCATCTTCAGCTGTAGCCAGGTTTATCCACGTAGCACCTAAGACCATTACAAGACCGGAACTGTTATCAGACACACAGGAAAACACGTGACCTGCCCAGATCCGGTCGACCACGTGTCACTACTAGAGCACGGGACAGGTTCATACGGCTACGTCAGTTACGCGAAAGAAACACAACGGCCACCTCTACTACTACGGCAATACCAGGATTGCGTAAAGTATTAGCCAAGACGGTTAACCCGCTGAAGGTATTCGCGCTAGACGACCAGTTCGAGGTGTCATTTTGACGGACCTGCATCGTCGGCTGCGACTTTAATGGTGTCAAGGTCATAGAGTATGGCCACAACTGCGATGGAGACAAGTTTGATTTAGTGACGAGACACGTTTTGTGCTTCGCCGTGCGGTTGGAAGACGTCGTGTTTACAGGCGTCGTGGGGAACGTTATGCACGAAACTGAACGTTATGAATGAACTGATTTGGTGGTGGTAGTGTGATGATGTGGGCAAATGATTGTTAGAACAGACTTGGTGCAAGTTCTGGGGAATTAAACGGCACAACGTTATACGGATGAGAGTCTTCGGCCACACGTCCTTCCCACTGTGCAACAAGAGAACGTCATTTTCCAACAAGACAACGCCCGACCTCACACGGCAAGACTGACAACAGCCATGTTCAGGAATCAAAACATCTTGGTCCTGCCATGGCCTTTCACTTCTCCAGATTTAAACCCAATCGAACATTTATGGGATGCACTGGATCAACAACTGCGAGCACAGAGCCTCCGACAGTTGGCACAAAGACTACAGGGAGAGTGGAAGAACATCCCCCATGCCACAGTTCAGACACTTATTTATTCCATGGGATGCCAGTCAGTTTGTTGTATAGCAGTGTATTATATTGTCAACGCGTATGTTGACGGGGAAATTAGCTCGGATTGAAGACGAAGAACACGTTGAGTCCAAACTTCTTTAGTCGGCAATAAAACAAACAAATACAATTACTAATAGAAATATGTCGAGCGGAGATTCCAACTCAACTACCACAAGTGAAGTCCAGCAAGCAGGCGTATCCAACTCGCGGCTGTACATACAGGTGCTGTCGGAATACCAGACCAACTAACAGTAAAGATGTAAACATATATTTACACTATTGGACAACAATAGACACACAAAGAGACAATGGACATGGGACTTATGGATGTGATTACAGACACGGCCCCGGGGAAAATGGATTAAGGCTTTAAATGTCATAATGTGAAATGCTGTGTTAAGACAATGGCACAACTGACCGCTGTTACGCATGGATTACATCATGTTAAATAGTCCAGATTTCCTAAACGGTATGTTCTCAACACTGTACACAAAGGGGTGTTGTTCAGAAGCTACAATTCTTTAACATGGCGTTGTCCAGAGTGCTGTTAAGTCACTCTGTGAGAATATTGTTGAACAATGATTGTAACTGTGTTACAATGATTTCTGTCGAGACTCTGTAGATGCTCATGGCATTGTGTTTTGACAGTGATTAGTTATCAGGAATGTAGTACTGTTTAATGTAAGCGGTTTTGAGGAAGTTACTATATTTAGATGCTGTTGTAATGTGCAAACTTCCGGTATACCGTGGCCTGAAATAAAGTATAGAACACGTGGAATGGTCTTGTTGTGAGGGCACTGTGCAGAACTTTCCAGGAGCTAGTTGGACGGTATATACACTGGGACAACGGCGTGCCTGTCTCATCTTTCACTTTCCATTACCCCCAGCTTTCCTGTCCAGATCAGTTTTCACCCCAGATTGCCTGCCAAGGCCAATTTCGGAGGCTTGACCACCGTCGCCGCTGAGTGAATATACATTATTATCGCTGACTTTTGCCATCACCACTGTATCTTTGTACTTGATACTGACCACTGTCATCATATTATATATTGCCATTGAATATTGTACTACCTCTCTATTGTTTACTGCCATTGTAATTGCTGCGCAGTAATTTGTATTGATTTATAAACCCATTTAATTTTGAAATACATTTGTTGTTAGTGTCTAGTTTGTGAAAAGCAGAGCTCTCACGGTTGAGGAATACCCGGCAGTGACAAATTATGTCTGATCTATTTTATATCGAGAATGTGGACAGTGATCGATGTACTTTTTGCAGTGATGATAGAGAGACGATCTTCCATCTCTTGTGGGAGTGTGATATTGTACAGAATTTCTGGAAACAGTTTATGAGCTGAATAAATGACAAATGTTGACACATTCATAATCTAAATCTTTCAGCAGAATTTATTATTTTTGGCTTTAAAGAAAATCTTATTACTGATAAAGTGTTTGATTTTATCATCCTGTTCACAAAATACTTTATCTACAGATGTGGAGTTCAAAATATACTCCTGAATGTACAGTTTTTAAAGAATGAACTCAAACTTCGCTATAAGATAGAGAAAAGATGTTTTTTGTCCACAAACAGAGGTTTGGAATTTAACAAAGACTGGATGATGTACCACAACCTTTTTGAATTTTAGGATATGTATATGTATTCAATTGAAACCACTGATTTGAGGTTTGAGATCTCTCTTTGAGAATATAATGTGTGTGTGTGTGTGTGTGTGTGCGTGTGTGTGTGTGTGTGTGAGAGAGAGAGAGAGAGAGAGAGAGAGAGAGAGAGAGAGAGAGTGCTTGTGACGTCCCTGTGTGAGAGCGTGTAAATGGTGTCTGTATGAGAAGTGTGAATGGCTGTTGTGTTTTAATGATAAAAAAGGGATTCCATCATGTGATACATATATATTATGCATTAAATCATTTATTATCACAAGTAATATCAATCGTCACATTACAAATGATGTACAAAGAGTTAATGTATTAATATGCATTATATCATGTACAATGTATTCTTAACCCTGAATAAAAAAATTATTTTTACAAAAAACAATTATGTCTGATCTAATAGAAAGATTTTAAAGGGGTTATTTCCGAGCCTGTTCCTAGCGGTAAGTGAAGGTGATATCCATTGTCTATTTATGCTAGATTGCTAACAAATGCTATTTTAAGCAACTACAGATTACCTTTGTAATATGGGCAAATGTCAAGAAACTGGACAACTGACACAAAGTCTATCTGGTGATGAATCATAAAACTCATGAAATAAACATCCTTATTGTGTAAAATGCAAACTGCTTCTGTTCGACAAATGAGTATTTGTTCATATCCATCACACCGCGTGTTGATGAAGTTCTGTCAACCATTCCTCTGGTATACAGCATCATAACTATATACAAGTACTTGTTCCAAATAACTGAACACATCTTCCTGAAGCCTCGTCCACAGTTGTTCAATAACGACGGACAGGTTTAAATAGTCATATCCACGCCAGTACCTTTTCCTGCAGCTCTGTCCACCAGTCGTCATCGCCGTCGGTATCCAGCTCCAAGGCTGTGCCCTGATCCAGGAGTTGACCCATCACCGGCGGCAGGGGATTCCCCTTCTCCAACACATCCGGGGTGTAGAGAAGAAGGACTCGCTTAGGCATCAGCGTTGTGGTGGAGTACAGGGCAGATGACAGAGCAAAGAAACACCATTCATCTTGAAGGAACTTTTCAGTGACAAATATCACTGACTTCCAGCTGTTGTTGATGCCCTTTACAATCTCCTCTGCAGTTGACACACCCACATCAAAGTTTCGGTCAGGGATGCACATGCGTAGTTGTCGCTTGTTTTCCATTTCCTGTCTGAAAGTGGTGAATATCCAGGACAACAGGTCTTGATGCTCTGACGAGGCATAGTAAAGGAACATATCAAACTGGAAATGCTTCCGGTCAGGCTTATCAAACGGCAGACCAAACATCCTCAGGACGAAGAGCTTCCACAGCATGCCATACCTGTTAGCAAGCACCACACACAGGATGACAATCCACAAAGCAAAGAATGCAGAAACAACTGTTGGCAGCCATATTCTGCTGTAACATGCACGCCAGAGGGTATTGTAGTGAGTCCAGTCTAGCATCAACGGACCCAGCTTGCCTGTTTCGTCTATACATCTGTACATCTGCACGTCATCGAAGACGACATCCGTCACCATCATCCATTCCATGAAGTCAACACTGTTGCAACCACATGCTAAGGTATTACCAGTCAACGACACACGTAAATGAGGAGACACCTGCTGTAGGTCATCTAAAATCTGTTTCGTGCGGGACTGAAACTGACTGATCAAGTTATGGGACAAGTCAAGATGTTGAAGGCGGGTTAAACCTTGGACTGAATGCGGGATGTCAGTTAGCCCTGTGTTGGAGAGATTCAGACGTGTCACACTGCTCAGGTTGATGAAAATGTTTTCATACAAAACTGATTGTATATTTCCAGATAAATCCAGATATGTCAGCTTTGTCAAAGGTTGAAATAGGTTTTCAGTGTTCGGTCTTGTCAGATCCAATTGACAGTCTTTTAATTGTAACATTTCCAGATTTGGCTGACTATGAAACATGTCGGGGGGAATGTACCTCTGATTGGTACCAGAGAGATCCAGAGATTTCAGCGTGGCTGCTCCGTAAAGACGAGTTCCTTCAAAAAATCCCGAATCTGCAGCTACTAATTCAGTAAAGTTTGGGTTGTGAGATATAACGTGAATTGAACTGTAAGAAGCGTTCAGACGACCGTAGGTGTATATACCAGATATGTTTAACGAACGGATTGAAAAAGGCAGAGGAATCTCCAGTGAAGGTTTCGACCTTATGTTAACGGGTAGCTTGATGGTGTCTCTGGGCTGTCTGTTTCTTCTTGGGTTACCGTGATACGAAACTACAGGATATGATACATCCACGACTTCCATTTCTTGAAAAAAGAGTAGTTTTACAGCCACAAATATCTCCCCTAACATCATATTTCCAGCCACATTTATGTATTTTAAACACTTTCTAAATAAACATGTATCACAGATAGCTTCAGCTTCGATGATGACAATTCTATTTTGACTCAGGTCAATCTTTTCTACACATATGTGATTTAAATATGCCATCATGCCTTTTGTGAGAACAAGTGTTTCGTTGTTTTCTAGCCTAGACATACTATTCTCGCCAATGCCTAGCCCTACAGCAGAGAAGGTGATAAGCGACATGGTGTTCCCAACAAGGCCATAGAGCGACCTCAAGACTGGTTTCAGACCAACAGACCTCGCCTTCTCTATGGATAAGACGCTGAGGTGCTGGAGGTTTCCCCAGGTATCAGCTTCGAGGATTGACAGATGACAACCAGTGATATATAGCCTCCTCAATGGCGTATCCTTGAAGGCGTGAAACGTGTCATTCCTGAGTGCAGTGAGTTGACACGCTCTTGTGTTAAAGTAAAGACATTCAAGATGTCTGAGTCCAGTGAATCCTCTTCCGAAGATAGGCTCAGGGGGAGAGGCTAGCCACAATTCTTTTAAATTCACCAAATCTGCAAGTGCTTCATCTGGGAATGAGATATTTTCTGTTGGTCTGAGGTCATCCTGCAACTTGAGCTTGAGGAGTTTGATGAGGTGCCTGAAGACCCCAGCGGGGTAGGCTGATGGTGATAGGTTGTTGTAACTGAGGGATAACTCCAGCAGTGAAGACAGGCCCTGGAAACTGTTGACTTCTAGGACATGAATCCCACTCGATTCAAGCAGTAACCTTTCAACATTTGCTAAACCAATAAAAAAATTGTTTTTCAGGGTGGTAATGTTATTGTGGCTGAGGTCAAGATCTGTAGTGTTCCTGGGAAGATTATTTGGGACTTTCTTCAAATTTCGGTTTCTGCAGTCCACATGCGTCCCATGTTTACGGTAGAAGACGTGACAGGGGATTGAGGTGAGGGACTCAGTGATGACCAACACTGATGCTGCAGCTGTCAGCAGAAACTTCATCATTGGTCTTGAAGTACAACCAGTCCCGTTACAGTAGTTTTGGCTGCATGGCACACCTGTGAACATGGAACATAGTGAGTGAGTGAGTGAGTGAGTGAGTGAGTGAGTGAGTTGGGTTTATTGCCGCTTTTAACAGTATTCCAGTTATATCACGGCCAGTCAGCCTAATGTGGGAAGAAAGCCTAAAGTGATGCAGGTCTCAGACGTTTACCACTTCGGTGAAACCCACGAGCATGGGTATGGTGCTGACAAACCTAGAAAATTAATTGGGGCGAACCGGGATTTGAACCCACAATCATAGGTTTCTGGTGTGCCTAAAGGACACAACTCTTCACAGCGATTCTCGCACCTTAGACGATTGGGCCACCCACATAGTCGTTCTCAAAACTGGCATCTCTCCATAGAGCTCTCATCTAAATGCAAATATTACTCACAGTACAAATCTCCCCTTAATGTAGAAAAATACTTTTTATCATTTGAAATCTCTGCTTATTATAAAAGATTAATATGTATGTTCAGGTGTAACAACTTTAAACTTGCAGTTGAAACTGGAAGACATTCTAAAATCCCATATGAAGAATGTGTGTGCGTGTATTGCCACTCCAAAGGTTTAACTCTAATTGAGAATGAGTATCATGTATTGTCAATCTGTGAGATACCGAGCTGCAAGAAGAGAACGCTTTGCTGGAAGTGAAATCAACTTTACCACTATCAACAGTTTTTAAACCTTATGTCAACAAACTCCACAAGAACTTTTAAACACATTGGACTATTTCTATCTAAAGTTATGAATATACGTAACTCATCACTGTTCTAACGTATTCTCAAACTATTTGTCTTAACATAACGCCATAGTATATAAGCATGTATGATCTACATTATGTTAACATGTATTATGGGCTGGAGGCCTGATTACTGAATAAATCTGTCTGTCTGAAAACAGTCACAATATTAATGATGATGTGTGTGGTAAGGCCTGTGTTGTTGTGTTGTTTTATCAAAATATTGTTCAGATAAGTTCGGATTTAAATATTCTCTTCGTTACGGCTTATGATGATTCAAACATTTGAGATGACCATAGTTGCATATTACTGGTCGGTTGGTTTGTTGTTTAACGCCCCACTCAGCAATATTCCAGCTATATGACGGCGGTCTGTAAATAATTGAGTCTGCACCAGACAATCCAGTGATTAATATCATGAGCATCGATCCACGCAATTGGGATCGATGACATGCAACAACCAAGTCAGCGAGCCTGACCACCCGATCCCGTTAATCGCCTTATACGACAAGTATAGTCACCTTTTACGGCAAGCATTGGTTGCTGAAGACCTATTCTACCCCGGAATCTTCACGGGTCTTGCATATTACTGATCTTGTAATAAATTTGACGCAATGCATTTTAGTGAATGGACAAAAATAAACAATGTGAATGCCACATATACATCAAACCAGTCTTTAAAAAAAATAGATTAAATTGACAATCGTCTTACCTATCACGCTAATCCTCTGCTGACAACGTGTACACTATATTTTAGTTGCTTTCCCTGACACGATACAGGCCCAAAATGACACCATGCGTGCATATATGTGGATAAAATGAGGATTATCATATCATATATAATGGGGTGCTCTCTTTGGTCAAAACTAATCCGCCTAATGCTCTACAATCAACTGCTTGCTGTTGTTGTGTCATTGTTCACCACTCTGGGTGGTATTCCTGTCGCTCTTGCTGCCAGGTAGAAGTTCAAACTGAAAAGGTTGTACTTCTATGTCAGTATCCGTATAGGGAAGACCATCCAAACCCATTTTTGACTCTGTGGATCGAATTATTAGTCAAGATAAAAGCAGATTTCCGAAAGCAATTCGGCGGGGCACTGTTGCTAATTTGTGTGTTTAGATGCTACAACTGTCCAGCAACACGATCACGTGACTGGCTACCTCATTATCTTACGTAATCGTAATCATAGATAGACTGCATGCTTTCCGGTGAGGTGTCCATGCCGGATACCATGGATCTGGTATCCGGCAAGGTTTCTGCCACCGGATACCCGGACGCGTTTTGGGTAAGTGTCCGGAGGTATCCGGAAGGTTTATCCGGATACCGGAAACTGCATTTTTTTGCTGTGTTTGGCCTTCGCTATTGCGTCTCTTGGCTTAAGGAGATCTATGACAGATAGCGGATCTATATGGTGGTCGAGAGGGGACATCGCTTTCTCGCTTTCTCGCTTTCTCGCTCTATCGCTTTCTCGCTCTATCGCTTTCTCGCTCTACCGCTTTCTCGCTCTATCGCTCTATCGCTTTCTCGCTCTATCGCTTTATCGCTTTCTCGCTTTCTCGCTCTATCCCTATCGCTTCTTCTAATGACTAACCATAGTCATATGAAGGAATCGGGTGTTCTTTAACTTCTTTTGAATAGTATGTGCTGTAAATCTTGAAATTAACGTTAGAGTTAATTATAAATGCAAAAAAATTAGCGTAGACATAATTACCGTATTCGACGTAATAAGCGCCCAGGGCGCTCTCAAAAAAAGTTGAGTTGAAAGATAAATTTCGTGGTTTATGCTGACAGCCTGAAATGTTTATGTACGACAGATATATTTTTCCCGAATAAAAATTGCCCATAATTAAGTGTGCATATAACGCACGAGTGCGTATTATACGCGAATAAATAAGTCTTGTGTACATTAATCAATCGCAAGGGGTGCTAATTAGGATTGTTCACTAGCCAATATTTTAGCAAATATCGCCGTGGGCGTTGATTAGAGCGGGGCGCTTATTACGTCGAATAAGGTAATTATGCTTTGCATTTATGTCTCAGAAATGACTGTTGATAAGACGGCCTCACTGAACACTTTGAATAGCGGAAATACCAACTTGAATATAAAACCAATCAACTATCTATTTCCACATTACGGTTACTGAGAACAATATGTCATCCAAAAACTAGAAATTACATAAAGGACATCCGGTAGTATTAACCATTGCTTGGGTGAGGACTTCCACTTTGATGACATCTACTCCGCAAACAGAATAAACGTTGATATAAGCGTTGTTTTTAGGAAAACACTATTGCTTTTTAGGAAGTACGTACTACTCAGCGCTATTGAGCGGTGTTATTTGCTATTTGTTTTGATAACTTGGCCTGGGGGCGGGGGATCGAATAGCTAAATAGGGCCATAAATCAATCAAATTTTTTTTTACGCAGAAATACTTGGATTGTTATAAAAGCACATATGTCTGTACTGTTAAATTATATTTCAGTAGATAGTGAGAAAATTTCAACATTCCGTCCATATGTATAATTTGAAATGCGACTGGAAAATTCTCAGCTCTCTTTTATGATTAAAACCAACAAGAGGGAATACTGCTATACCGCGAGAAAGCGATTGAGCGAGAAAGCGATAGAGCGATAGAGCGAGAAAGCGAGAAAGCGATGTCCCCTCTCGGCCACCATAGTATTCATGTTAAACTGCGGCATGGTATCTCAGTGAGCTAGCACTATAAATCGGCATCGGCACTAGTACAAGGAGCCACACACACACACACACACACACACACGTGCATGCACGTCGCTATATAAGTGCAATAATCTTGGGCGTTACGTTAAACCCCAGTTTACCTCACCTCACCGTAATTATTGTTATGTATCGCAGTAGAAGAGAGATGCACTTGATTGGCCAGGGGGGTTGTCTGTGGGTAGTTAGAGTATGGGATAGATTGATCTTAATCATTACACTTCCGTCACCAAAAAAAACAGACTAATTTCAATGGCAGTGACAAGGAAAGAAGCTATCTCTAAAGAGCATGCAAACTTTCCTCGTCACCTTACAGCAAAATGCCCCTTGGCAGACGGAAGGTACACGCATGCGTACAACGAGTGCTGCGCCTGATGGCTGCACCACACACGACACTACTAGAGATACATAGCCCAGTGTTGTGCGATCTGATTGCGGATAATAATGTGGACATCCTTGTTGTGATGGGAAAACATGGCTACGGAAGGACGACACAGAGATTACTGCAACTGGCTAAATGACCCCTCTGGGATGCAAGTGAAGTTTATTCATGTAGCTAGAGCTACCAGAAAAGGTAGTGGTGTGGCAATCCTACATAGATCAGCATTTGAATGTTTTGAAAGTCTGGAATGAACAAGAAGTTCTTCCAGTCACACGAAATGTTGGCAAACAATGAATAACTCTGATCGTGGTTTGCCGACCACCGAGACAAGAATCTATTTTCTTCAACGAATTCAAATTACTATCTGGTGACAATTCCCGAGCAGCTTCTCCTATGTGGTGATTTCAACTTCCATGTCGATAAGTCACAAAATAAGGACACAGTTAAACAAGATAATCATCACCTTCATCCGTATGGCCTAACTCAGCATGTCACGGAAGCTACCCATCTCCATGGGCATCTTTTGGATCTAATAGACACCAGGTCAGAGGAACTTGAAATAAGGGACATTAAAATGGGTCATTCCGTCAAGTCGGATCACTTTGCTGCTTTGTTCAGTCTAAATGTCTGTTGGTTGGTTGGTTGGTTTGTTGTTAACGCCCCACTCAGCAATATTCCAGCTATATGACGGCGGTCTGTAAATAATCGAGTCTGGACCAGACAATCCAGTGGTTGATATCATGAGCATCGATCCACGCAATAGGGATCGATGACCGTGCATCAACCAAGTTAGCGAGCCTGACCACCCAATCCCGTTAGTCGCCTTTTACGGCAAGCATGGGTTGCTGAAGACCTATTCTACCCCGGATCTTCACGGGTCCTAAATGTCTGTGTATCGGTACGTGGCAGAATAGACATCCTGTTCAGAAAATGGAAGACGATCATTATGCAGAATCTGAAACAGGATTTGGGGAGTGCATTGACTGGACACAAAGACAAGTGTATTATTGAGTGAGTGAGTATGGTTTTACGCCGCTTTTAGGAATATTTCAGCAACATCACGGCGGGGGACACCAGAAATGGGCTTCACTGATTGTGCCCATGTGGGGAATCGAACCCGGGTCTTTAGTGTGACAAGCAAACGCTTT